ATTCTTTCTCCTACTCATATTCTTCATAAGCTGAAATAAACTGGAATAAATTTCGAAGCATGAATAATGTTTCTTACAAAATGATTTCTTTAAATGAGAAAAAAAAATTATATTCGAGATCTTGATTTTTCTATAAATTTCCGAAAGTCAGTACAACAGATACTGAGAAATTTGACTTTTTGCAGTATCAAAACGTTGGCGAAAGCTTATTATAATATTTTTTCTAAGTTTGAGTCAAATTATCTTAGCCAAAACTACCATTTCAGGTTGAAAACTGGTGGCACATGTCGTTTTCACGATTTTTCTGCCGAAACCAAGCAAGAAATCCTAAATTCCCTAGAAACCATCTAGAAATCTTCAGTTATCGGATACCCCGCATACCTAATGTTTAAGTCTAAATCCAATTAATAAACATACAGAAACGTAAAATCTTTCTGGAAACCCTGCAGAGACCTTCTAGATCTCTAGAATCAATTCCACCAGATTCCTCAACCTGAACTATGTCCATTGCGTAAGTTGCATCCACACATACCGCACCTGTCGGAAGTTACTCTTCTTTTTACTTTCACAGATTGGTCTATCGATGGCCGCTGCGGACATTAACTTTGTATCACTCCATGGCTTTCAGTCAATGGGATATAGTCTCTTAAATAAAATCTATTAATCTACAGAACATAGGAACATAAGAATCATCGACGTTTACTGTCACTGGTGCATATAGGCGGCATCTTTTGAGCCATATCATGTTGCCATTCGCTTATCATGCCAACCGATTATTATTTGCCGTATTCCTTGGATTCTTATATACGGATCAGTGTTTCTCAGTGTTTCTAACATTACACGTATCCCTTTGTTCCAAAGTGTACGGTACGCGAACTAAATTGAAAATACGCTTTATATCAACCAATAGGAAAAGACAGAACGATAAAATCCACGAATTACCACGCTTATGTACGCGCTGCTCAAAATTCTCATTAGAAACCCTGATACGGATAAAAACATTTTATCGAACGGGTGCTTATTACAGTCTGGAAGTTCGTTCATATTAAGTTTATGAACTTATAATTGAGCGTTTATTTCTTTAAATTGATCATCTTATTTTAAACAGCCCACGATTGAATGGGTACATTCCAAATTCTAAATGTAAGCATCAGTCTGTCGAATCTAAAAAGAAGGCTCTCAACCTGAGACGCAGTGTTTCTAATAGTAAGCACATCAAGCAAATGCAAAATACACGATGTACTTACGATTTTGAAAATGTACTTTGTTTTACTAGCAAAAAAATTTAACAAAAGAGAATTTACCGGGATTATTCATCGCAATGTGTTTTGCTAAAAATTCCTATTAGAAACACTGTTGAGACATTTGATTTCAAGAGCGAAAGGACAAAATTTGCTTCTCGCCTTATTGAACTTTCAAAAACTTCAATTCTATTTTTGCAACGTTTTTCGTCGTTCCTTTACAATCAGTTTAGCGAGCATTGACAAAAAATTTATTGATCTGACGACAACGGATGAGATAAGTAGAAAAAAGAAGAATTTGAGCGCCTTCTCGTTTAAGTGCATCTTATTTTAGCGCGTCTTATCTGCGTGCATTTTCAATTTTATCACTCATTCTTGAAAATATTTTGGAACTTTTGAACCATTTCTGTCACCACTGCTCTTATTAATTCTTAGTGGTTAGTAGTCTTTTATTTTAATCTTAAAAAGTTTGTGAACATTATTTTGACAATGCAATTCCATTTTAAGAACTGTTATGCACGTTTAGCAGCAGCAAACCATCTTCCCACTGCCGAAATATAATCTAACTGTTGAGTCTTTGCTAGTGATGGGCCGTCGTGTAGTCGTTAAACATGAATATTGATTGATAGATAGTGGAAGAAAGAAAAGGAATAAAAATTACGGTATTGCTATAGCCGTTTCTTGCTTGTATGCCATTTTGCTATATTCGAATATACTGTGTCCTGTTCTGCGAGTTACGTCTGAATTTAGTGTTCACATACTTGATAACTAATGGAAAGGAAAGAAAACGAAATGTTACGTAAGAAACGGGAAAAACAAAATGGCAGCTTAACGTCTAAGCGAAATGTAAGATTCTTAACATACGAAAGAAATTAACGGACAAACGACTACGCTAAAGACACGAAATAATATAAAGTGAATAGAAAGAAAGAAATTTACAGTATATTGAGAATGATTCACTTACGTTAAGAATTTCGCATAATATACGTAGCTTCTTCGTTTCGTACGGTAAGAAAAACATTTTTCTTAACGTCACACGTTATATTTTCCCTTCTCTTTACTTTTATCGTCATCCGTGACCTATACGCTACATGTATAGGTCACGAGAGACGAAAGAACAGATACTAGAAAATTAATGCTTCTTGCGTCTTACGGCCCATCACTAGTCTTTGATAATTTAATTTTTTTCGACCTGTATATGTCCCAGCACGTAAAAGTTCAATATCATGTTAAATTAAGACATATTGGGTTTGATGTGTTTCAATCAATCGCCATACGGTCGGTTGTGTTTGTAGTAGCTCTAACAGTTCAGAATGCCATGATTCATTAACGTTATTTGTTTGATTATCTTGACCAAAAACATCTCATACTTCAATGTTATACTGCCCATTTAACTAGATGTTTGAAAAATATGACAAAACGGTTGCATTTTATGTCTTATACATAACAGTGTCGAATCAACTATTGCATCATAGGTGAATTGTACTAAATGTGTTGGTAGAAACGAAATGCCTGAAATAAAAGATTACAAGCCACTAAGAATTAATAAGAAACAATGATGACAGAAACAGTTCAAAAGTTTCAAAATATTTTAAAAAATAAGTGATGTAATTGAAAACACATCCAAATAAAATACACTTAAATGAGAATGCGCTCGAATCAAAGGCCCACCGTTGATGACATCTAAATATATTATCTAAATTTGAAAATGTTTTCGTACTAGACGACTGTTGAATGCGATTCGCGTTCTCTGTGTTTGTATTATAAACTTTCGATGCTGTAGTCCATCGAACATGTTCTATCTGCTTCAACTGTACAGTTTTGATTTATAAAAACATGTTAAAAATTATGTTTTATCAACGTCAATGTTGATATTTATTCAGATTCCTCGCTTTCTTTTCAATTTAACTGTGTCGTTATTCTATTTGGTCTGTTATGTCCGTCGACTCCCCACTATTCGGGAAACATTTGTAAGCAAAATAAAAACGATTTTCATTGCTCTTCTTCTTCGACTAGACTCTCATTCTTACTTTAATTATCACAATAGAAAATCACCCATCAGTATTGGACTTGTCATGAGTTTATTGTTTAGTGTTTCTTCGTTTACTTGAAAGTTAAGGATCTTCAAAATGGCTGATCACTTTGTCATGTATATATACCACGCTTAAGTATTTTACAAGAATCTGTTAGACAAAATATACTAATGTTAAAAATATGATGATCTATTGGCATAGATTTATGACGTAAACTCCGGCTTTTTTTCCCATACAATATATCACAAAGTGAATGACACAAAATGAAGACGTTTATACTACTTGTTTAATGATGATATATTTATCTCAAGAAATCAATTTTGAAGTTTTTTTCTCATCAAAACGCGTAAGACATATAAATTCATTATGTAGTCGCCCGAGAGAAATGATTTTTTTTGTCTTCTCTCTCTCTCTCTGTTCAAAAAACAAGAAAAAAACAATAATTAAGAAAAAAGATTAAACAATAAGATACATACATTTTAAAATCAATAAATGTGTATAATAATTGTGCTTGTTCGTCTATCAAATTGCGTGTGGTTGTGTCTTATCAATAGAGAACACTTGTCATGATTGAGTAAGATAATATTTAATAATCAATTTTTCAACTATTCATCAAAATATTTTTTGCTTTAATTAATTATAGTCTAGAGAGTATAAATTTATGTTCAAAATCGAATAGCGTAGAAAAAAAAAGCTTACATACATTTTCTTTATCTCAAGGAAAAGTTTGAGTCAAAGAATGTATATTTCGTGTAGTGGCAGCTTTAAATAAAATTTATCAAAAATAGTATTCATTTTCTCTAATTTGAAACAAAAAATGAGGGATGGTTTACTTTCACAAGATAACACGTATAATAAATACGTAATTAAACAAATTAATAAAGGTCTCATGTTTTTTCTTTTGCTTTTTTTCTGTTTGAGAACGGCTTCGAACAGTCGTCCTATTCAATATTTATAAAACGAATTTTACCACAAAAAAAGAAAACTATTCAATATAATTAATTAATTATCAAAAGGTATATGTTTTTTTAGCTAAAAACATGTTTTACTAGCACAAACATGTCTCAAAATCTTAGCATTAAAAACAAAAATGAAGCGATGATAAACCTATTTTCATATGGATTTTTTGTTTTAGACAATACATAGGTCCAAAAATCAATCTGATGGTATGCGAACTTTTTTCCTTTCATTTTGTTATGCTGTCATTTTTTTCAATTTTATTACTTCTTCTAATACCACGTATAATGCAACATTTGACTATAAACATATGTACTAAATCAATTTGTTCCAAATTTTGTTTTCTGTTGTTTTTTAAGCAAAGGACTTCACGTTGGAGTGAAATAAAAATTACTAGGAAAAATACAATCTGTATATGTAAATGCGAAAATAAATGTCAAAAAAAAACAAAACGAAGACACAATAGCTATAAAAAAAACAGAAGAGAACAAAGTGTAGCTAAAAAAGATTGATAGTTGACCTGATTGTTTTTTTGGTTTTAAGAACGTTATTGTTCGATATCGCATTTCCATATAATTAGAAGCAATAATTTTTTGCTTCAGAAATAACTAACTATACGACGATAAGAAGTTAAGAAACAGAAAAAAAAGATAAAAAAACGGTCGAACAAAAATATTACTAATCTAGTCTATATAATGATGGTTTTTTTTTTTGTTTATGACAAGAAAAAATGGCAACTACTGTCGTTCATCCGTTTTGTTTATCTTCTCTATGTATGATATGAATGTGATGAAACGTCAATATTAACGGGTAATTGACGATCAACATCATGACGATGTTGACGATGAGCATGATGTGGAGAATATTGACGTTGTGATTGATAGTGTTCGGGTAGTGGACGTTGATCATCTCTAAAGGGTATATCTCGAACAAATTGTCGAGTATCACGTGGTGCACCACGATAAGATGTATCATGAGGTGATTGTCGATGTTGTTGTTGTTCTTCTATCATAGGACGTCTTGAATCATAATCAACAGGTATATATCGTGCTGCTCTTTGAGGTTCAACAATAGGTACTGTTGAAACAGGTGTATATTCGTGTGTTGTTTTTCTTTCAACTCTAAGAATTTTTGTATTTTCTTTCTTTTCTTTTTTTTCTTTTTTTCCACCTCCCATTAACCATGATACTGCTAATAAAAGTGGATATAATAATGATAATATTAATGATATAATTGAGAGTATTGCTGACCATCCGATCCATGCTCTACTATTACGAAATATTTCTTTTCTATTTATTGCTTGTAAATCTCTATTAGTATAATCAGTATACGGTGGTATTACAGCAGATTGTCGTCCGTATGATGATTGATTTTGTCCATAATTTATTGGTTGTTGATATGAATATTGTTGTTGAGATGATGACGATAAGTAAGGATACAATATATATGTTCCATGTTTCTCAGAAAATTGATAATAATGTGTTTCATTATATGGTGACTGAAGTTGAGTTCGATAATAGTCTGTTTGTCGTTTGATAGCACGACGTAAAATTGATTCACCTTCTTGATAATTATCTGCTGAATAATCTCTTTGTCTTCCTTCTGTTGTTCGAGTACCAATTTTATTTAATAAACGTTGTTTAATTACTGGTAATGAATGACCTAAATGTTCTAGTTCACGTTTTAAATGTGTACCTAATAGTATTAGACCAATGAGAATAAATAGAAATGCCAATAATGATAGTCCTATGCCAATTGGTTTTAACTTTTCTTGAAAATGTGTGGTTAATAAGGCACTAATTAAAACAACTAAACCTAGTAGAATAAGTGCAATAATTTCAAAAGAAATAAATGCATTCCAATAATCATATCGTGCACAATGACAAGATGGTCCCGATTGAATATTCTCGCTACAAGTTAAAAATACTCCACGAAGGCTTGGAGTATTTGAATAGCATTGTTCTAATGCTGTCTGATCATTTGTTAATGGAAATTTGGTTGATGTCCATACATCCATTTGTTGATCATTATTTGAATATAATTGAACATTACGTGAAAAAAGTCCATATCTTTGATCAAGACGAGAATCATCTCGTATACGCTGTTGTGTGGATAATAATGGTTTTAATTGTGTTCGTTGATATTTCCAATGATGAGTAACAACAGCAAAAAATTGTGTAAGAAATGCAGCTATGGCAAGTAAAATACAAAGAATATTGATTAAAAATATTATATTACGACTTAACGCCATGCTCTTCTTCTTTTGAACTAAAATAAAAAGTTAAGTTACAATATTGACGACATAAACCTGTAATATGAATCTAACCTTGAGTATATATGCACGTTTGACGCTCGATTAATAACGGAAAGTTGTTTACATGACAATAAATAACACTATACCATAACCATCACTCTATTCTACTCTTTTCTCTCTCTCTCTCTCTCTCTCTTGTTAAGAATATCCTATATTCGTACAAAAAAAAAAAAATTTGATGTTTTTTTTTTTTTTTCTTTTTCGTACAACTATACAAATGAAGAATATATATCTAGACTATATCGTTGATTATGACAGAATAAAAGCAAACCACAACTATTTTTAGTGGTGAAAGAAAGAAGAAAATACATTTTTGCGTAAAAACCAGAACTAGTTTTTTTTTTTTTTTAAACAACGAAAAGATATAGAGTATAGGCACGAAAACAACAAAAGTCTCTATTTTATTTTAGTACAGAACAATACAAGGTTAATTGTACATGTTTACTTATCGCACGACTTTTACACGATCAACTTGAATCGCAGCAGGAGTATTCCATAAAAAATAATCCATAGTTTTTTTTTCTATGAATAAATGTATAACACACACACACACAAGCTAAAAATTCCAGGATAAGACGATTTAGATTAAAAAAGAAAATTTTTTTGATGATATCTCTTGCTTCAAGCTTTATACATTGAGTCAATTAGATAATTTTGAATGATAATATTCTTCTTTAATCAGAGTGCATCAATAAAATTGTCAATTATTATTGATTATCTGAGTTATATATATATATATCGTAAACAAAAATTAGTTTTTTAGAAACTCATTCTTCGTACAAAAAATAGGAGCATTGATATTCAGATTTTATCATCATTAAGAGTTTAAACTGTTACTTCGATATTTTTAAATAATTTATTGGCGCATCCCCATATGAGACAATAAACTGAGCGTACCCAAAAGAAGAGAGAGAATAAAAGGTAGTTTTAAAAGAGATAATAAACTCTGACATTTAAATTGAGACAACGAATTTTAGTATTTCAAAAGAGATAATAAAGTCAAATGTCCCAATTGAGGTAAAATAGCAAATTCAAGAGAAATAATAAATTTTAATTAGAATAATAGAACAATTAAAACAATATATGTGACTTTTGTACAAATACATGGATCTGGGTAGAAAATATCAAGAAAGAAGAAAAGAATGCTCATTTTGATTGTGCACAAGAAATTTATTAACAATTAACGTCGAAGAGATTAACAAAATCCTCTCAAATAAATGAAGGACGACTGGTCATTACCAAGCAGATCTACGAATCAACAAAGAAATTAGAGGAATATCGAAAAATAGTCTGAGCTAAAGCTTACAATTCATTGTACGAACATGAAAAAACAGCAATAAAAAAGGATAAAGAAGATGGTGTTCTATTGTAATTATTTTATTATTCTAATTAAAATTTTATTATTTCCTTTGAAATACTAAGATTCGTTGTCTCAATTTAAACGTCAGAATTTATTATCTCTTTTAAAACTATATTTTATTCTCTCTCTTTTGGATACGCTCAGTTTATTGTGTCATATGAGGGGGTAAATGAATTTATCTCATCAGAATTTTATTATTAAAAAGAGTTAATTAATAAACATAAAATAAATTGCGATACTATTTTATTCAAACCTTGGCTAACCATCAAAAAGTAAAAGGTGAATTTTTTTTTCAAATTAGCGGTTTTCATTCAGCGAGTGTATGTGTGTGTGTGTGTAGGTATTTCTATGTCTTTCACAGATAATTAAAATGAAGATTTTTGTTTAATTTTGCAATGAATATTATCAAAAATCATAAGTTAAAAGAATTGTCAATATCACCTCTCTTCAATATATAAACAAATGCAATGTATTTTGAGAGAATATGACGAAAAATGCAAGGATTCATATTTCTCAATTTACACCATATATTCATCCATAATGAGAGTCTTAATCGTCAAAATTTAATAATGTTAATATACATGGAAAACAGAATCTTTTTTCTTTTCGTTTCTTTTTAACTATTCAATAATGTATCATGTTAACTAATTTTTTTGTATGATATAATATCGAGATATCATTTTTAATATAGGGTCTTTAAATAATATTCATTTTTCATTTTCTCTCTCTCTCTCTTTTTCATTTCTTTTTTTTTTTGTAATAATGAATGCTTCATTTATCAAAATGAGTCGTCTTATCCCAGGGCATAACAAATCGTATATACCTCTAAAATACTTACCGTGACAGTATACATTGATGATGTTGATATTAATAAATGTAAAGTAAATGAAGGAGAACAAAAGTATACATTTCTTTAGACTAGAATGAAAAGGTAATTTATTCTATGGACAAGGAGATATATGAACATATATATATACATTCACACGCATAAATTATGCGTCAAAAAAAAGAAAAAAGAAGGTGATCATGGCAACATGATGGATAATCTAAATCGAGGAATGGGAATATATCTCTATATCTTTTTTTATTTTTATTTTTTTTCATATTTTCTTCATTTAATGAAGATAGTTGATTATATCCTTTTTTTTCTGTCATACTGTTTTCACCATCTAAATTATTATGTAAACCAGTTGACATCAAGGCCAGTTGACGTCTGTACCTTTTTTACTTAACAAAACGACAATCAAAATCGCCTTTTTTTCATATATAATACAGTAGAGAGAGATAGAATCATTTATTATAATTGTCATAAAATAAGTTGTACTAAAAGTGAAATATATAAAAAAAAAGAAAAGGTATCTTTATAATAGATGAAATTTTTTGTTCAATATATACTTTAAAAGACAGTTGACTACTACTCAATATCTCAAGATCTCTTATATTCAACAAATATGAGAATTTTTTGAGTTCATAGAACGTTATTTTATGTTATTTTTTTTTTCTTCTTCTAAAATGTTTTTGAAGTAATATTATAAATTTGTTCAATCAGAAATCACTATCGACTAAAGCAAATATTTAATTTAAATGCATTTGTATTATTTATTATATAAATAAAGAAATGGAATAAATGGACTATACCATGTGGACGACTATTCGCATTTTCTGTTCATTTTTCTTTTTACCTTTGTATTAGTTATACAGTAAAAATAATGCACAAAAGAGTAAAACATTCATCAAATAGAATGAGAAAAGAATTTCCACAACTTTGATGTCATTAGAAGAAAAAAATGAATAGAGTTATTATTATGTTAGGATATCGACAATACGACACAGTAGGTTCGGTTTGTATTTTCCAGTTCTCATCTCAGAGTTTTTGCACTCATTTTTCCTTTTTAGAGATTATTTATCTATAAAACGGTCTTTTATCACCAGTTACTACTCATCGTCTTCCGTTTTTCTCTCAAATCTCTTGGATATAGTAAAAATATCGTGCATTCCACTACGATATGCTCGCCAAAAACATACAAAGTTAATCAAGTTTAAATGCTTCATTGAGAAAGTTCAATATTATCAAATTTTTGTGAGAAAAATCGATAAACTTTAGTTTTAAAGTTTAGATCTAAATTTGAACGGTACTTTTCTTTTCATCGTCACATGAGACTGTAGGATAGGCATATATTTTTACCATTTGATAATACACTAAAAATGTTTAAATCATTAGCTCTGTTGATGCTCTTTTTCTCTTTTATGATAACATACTCAAAAAGAATCATATCCCTCTCTTTTATACTAGTAACCAAATAATTTTAGTTAGTTTTTGATTATTGTTACTTCAAAATATTTTCTTGTACTGTACATCATAAAAGATATAACTATTGTAAGCGGTTTTACGTTTTCTACATGTCATTCTATGTCTGATAAATAATCTTTCAACACATATTTTGACTTAGACGTAAATATCACGCAAACTATACAAAAAGCAAGAACAAAAAAAAAACAAGAAGAAAAAAAGTGAAGTAATAGACAAACTCTTATATAGAAAACAACATCAAAAACGAAAAAGAAAACGTCATAATAATACTGACTGACAAATATAAACATGCAATATGTAAAATGTAAGGCACCGGCATTCAAAAAAAAAAAAAAGAAAAAAAGAAAAAGTAAGAAGGAATAGTTTTTAAGAAACAAAATTATCTGATATTTTAAAGTAAATCTGAATAGAAAAAATAGTGTCAATTCTTCTACTAATGGTAAGAAATTAAAATATTAAAGTGAAAATAAATCGAGATAAAGAAAATTGATTGTTATATTTTTGATTTTTCTCATTGTGAAATATGCGATAAAAATACAAAGAATATTCACATTTTCTCAAATTAACGAATATGATTCGTTATTACAGCAATAAGATAGATGTGGTATAATGGAGATCTTGAAATTTTCATTTATAGGAGAAAATAAATTTCGTAATTGCCAGTAACTGCCAGAACACTATAGAGTTTTGATAAAGAGATTCATGTGAAAGAGAGAGAGAGAGAAGAAACGAAAAAAGTCACAAATAGGAGAGCTAGATGTTTGACTACTATATTGTCTCATATTTTGTTTGTTTGTTATTAAAGTCAAATATGATAGTGTAAAATGATGTGATTTTCTTTTTATGTCGGTAAAATGTGTCATCATAATAATATTTGTCGAATAATGAGAGATTGAATTATTCGAAATAAAATCATTATTTAATAATCTTTTTTTGGTCCAAGTACACATGGTTTACATTTTCCTACTCCATATCTCCATTCTTTTTCAATTGGTATTAAATATTTTCCAATTGTATAAAATTCATACAATTGATTTATTGATGATATATTAACATAATTATTTATTCTCATCAAAAAATCATCATCATTTTGAGCATTATACTGTTTTAAACGAAAATATAATAATTTATCTAAAAATAAATTATTATTTGATAATTCACCAGAATAAATAATATTTCCAATATTATATTGATTACGTTGTTCACGATAGATAAATGTAAATGTTGCATTTTTTCTTTCAATTACATCAATAGTTGAAACAATTTCTAATGTATTATTATCAATTAAACTAAAACATCTTGGAGGTGTTAAATCAAATAATGAACGTTCAAAACATATGGCAGATTTATTATTATTATTAATCATATTTCCAAATGATAAATGAACTTTTATTTTATAATTAGCCATAACATGATCAATTTCAATTAATTTCATATAATATTTTACATTTTTATTATATGGCCATTTTAAATATATTCCACTACGATTAATATATTTTTCATAAAGATAAATGTCATTAACATGTAGTGTACGTATTGCACCTGGTATATTAATATCACCTGGTCCACGTGGACGATTAATAAATATAACTGCAATCATTATTGAAACAATTAAATTTACTGTCCATATTGGCATTAAACTTATAGGAAAACAGTAATATAAACGTTTTGTACGACACCATATAGGTATATCATCTGAATTTGTATCTGTAGTAAGAAAAGTATACATATTATATAATTTCCATAGTGTAACACAAATTGAAAATATTGCTTTAGCTAATGAACTACGTTTAAACCATCCATCACGACATAAATTTAGATCTAATAATATAATTATTTGTGGAACTTCTTTAAAAAATGCCCATATAATATCAATAACATAACTTCGAACTTTTAAACATTGTTCCGGTTTTCGACATCCACAACAAAATGTCAAAATACATATTTGAAAACTTGCAATAATAATACCAATTAACGTGAAAAAGGAATATAACTAAATTGAAAAAATGAAAAAAAACAAAACAAATATAAACAAAAACAAAAAATGAAAAATAAAACATATTATATACCGGTAATACCCATGATTGAATTTCACAGTAAACAAGACCACTTTTAATTCCACGATTTTCACTTATAACATAGCCATCCATCATTAAACTCCATATTAATACAATTAGATTGATGATCACACTTCGCATACATGATTTACAAGACACCATTGTTTTCGAATCTCTAGAAAAACAAAGAATTATTCAAAATTATAGCTAGAAAAAATGTTACTTTCAACGGAGAATAATGTAACGGGTACGGCAGGATAAATGACCCGCTCAATATTTTTCAAATAATTCTTTTATTTTTGATCGTAGAAGACGACATTTAAGACCACCTGAACATACGTTTTGATTCCACTTTTGAAAAAAACTAAATATTTTTTCGTTATGTTTTGTGTTCGAAAGTAATGGAGACTGAAGCAGCGCAGGTTTTCGTTAATTTTCTTTTACCTTTACGATATATAAAAAAAAATGTTCAATATGATTCTTTTACAAAATGAAACGGGCAAATTTTTTCAAAAAACCTTCAAGCCTACACGATCTAAAAGAAAAGAGAGTTAAAAATACTGACGAGGGGACTTCGTAAAATTCTCACACCGCTTTTTCAGCCAGATCTAGTGGGTTATACGTTACCGGCTATGCTGAATCCGAATGTCATAGTGGTAGCTGCCAAGGGACCTTCACAGAGCGGTTTTCTGGAAAACCACTTTTTCAGAAACTCTAAAAACTAACTAAAATCTTTCTTAATGAGGCATGATTGTAGTCCGCAAATTTCTGATTAAAATGAAACATCTTTCAGCTCTACATGACCAAAGTTTGCAAAGTTATAGAATTTACAAGAAAAATCCTAAACGTTCATTGTTCGCTCAAAGGTACAGAAATAAAAAATTAATTGAGGGCTTTTCTTGTAAATTCTATAACTTTGCAAAGAAAGACCCTGTAGAGCTGGGAGATGTTTCATTTTAATCAGAAATTTGTGGGCTACAATCATGTCTCATTAAGAAAGATTTTAGTTAGTTTTTAGAGTTTCTGAAAAAGTGGTTTTCCAGAAAATCGCTCTGTGAAGGTCCCTTGGCAGCTACCACTATGACATTCGGATTCAGCATAGCCGGTAACGTATAACCCACTAGGTTTGGCTGAAAAAGCGATCTGACAGTTCGCGAGGTCTCCTCGTGAGAGAGCCATTTATCCTGTCGCACCTACTATAACAATATCGCTGTGATTAGCTGAATCTTTACACAAAAAAAAAAATCTTTATTTTTCTGTTATTTTCGTTTCCTATTTCATTGTTTTCCTTCTTACACAAAAGAGAGTAGCTTAAATATCTACCCGTACAAGAAAATGAAAATGAAAATAAATGTTTAAAAATAAGAGAATATTTTAAAAGAACTACACAAAGCTAAATTATAAATAATATCTAGCACAGATGAATCAACAATCAAAAAATATAACAGACCAACAATAAGATCAACAATGTTCCAAATGAAAAAGAATATTGATGTACTGAAGTTGAAAAATTGCACACAATCACATGTTAAACAAAGCAGAATAATATCAAATTTTCAGTGGTCATGGAAATACTTAACAATAGTTAACGAATATTTGATATCTGACATTTGGAAAAATAAAAATAGATTTGATTTGTCTAATATATATATTTTATGAAATAATACATTTCGATGAATCTGTTTTATGAGTACAAAAAGTACAACATTTAAATAGAAAAGATGTCGGTTGTTGTGGTTGTCTTAATTCAAGATCTTCGTCATCACTCGGTATATTATTATCACCATTGACAAAGCCATTGAGTTCTTCTCGAAGTTCATTTTTCGTTAGTTTATGTACAGGTGATATATAATCATCATCACTTAAAAAAAATAAAATATTTTTTAATAAGATAAATAAACAATTATTCAACTCAAAATGGATACATACCTATTAGTATCCTCTTTATCACTGATTGTAACCAATGGATGATAATCTTCAGATTGTTTAGCTTGAATTTTTGTATTCAAAATTCTAAATTGAGATTAAAAAAATTGTAGAACTTTTTTCTTTTTTTTTTCAACTTTATTATTTTTTTCAACTTTATTATTTTTTTACAATATTTCACCTAAGACCAGATGATAATGGAATAGTTGCTCTGGATATTTGTTGTGTTAAACTAGGTTTTGGTAAATATGATCGATTTTTTTTCGAATCTAAAAATAAATGGTGTCAATATGTTTACAGTTCTATGACAAATTATTTTTTAAAAACGAAACACGAATAATATTTTACCAGTAGTATTTTTTTGTGACGGTTGATTTGTGATAACTTTGAGTGTCTAAAAAGATAAAGTTGAAAGTATGGTCAAATAAATCGTATTAATTGTAAACATTTTTTTTTTTTACCGTATTATCATTGGTGAGAGGACGATTCGATGTATCCATTCAAGAGAAGATGATTAAATAATAAATTCTCACATTAAAATGAATCAGACAAGCTTTAATGAATTAAATAAACAAAATAGATAATGACAGAGTCGAGACTGACAGCAGCAAACTATTAATAATTCCTATCTGATGCATAGTTCGATATTATAATGGAACAACCGGCTATGAGTGGGACAGAGAAATGAGAGTGCATCAAAAATTGTGAGTTCAGTGCTAAGTATTTTGTCGAAAAAAGAAATTTTAGAATAGGATTGTCAACAGATTCTTGCTGTAAGTCTCAAATCTGCCACTTTTGACAGTCTATTAACATTCCTAGAAATGACAGAAAGATGCAGTTAATTAATTATTCATTTTTTTAAACTGTTGCAGTATAAGAAAATTAATCCTAAAACATGAATGACGGGAAATAATGCTATGTTTATATTGTAATTTCTATACATTTTCTCTGTGGCAAATTCCACAATCACATTGTTTCAAAATACAGATTTTCTGTACATCATATTTCATTAAACAAGTGTACAGCCACAGTTTACCTTTGCATTTCACCTTATTTTTTAGGTCGTTTTATGGTAGAAACGTCCCTCTCAGGTTTTGCAGTGTTAGTCTTGAACTTTCTTGTAGTCAACACGAAATGTCAGTATGAGTGAATTAAGAGTATGAAAAAATGGTACAACAAAAATAATGTTAATAAAAGCAATAACCGCACAATTTTTCTTCGCACATTTTATAAAAATCGAAAATAACTTTATAGGAAAAAGGTAAAAAAAACCATAAGTAAATAACAAATGAGCAATTTTTGATCGTTATTAAAAAGTTATTTTCATTTTTTATAAGATATCAGTTCTTGAGAACTAAAAATTCAGTTCCAATTTTATTTTAAAAATATCTACACAAATTATTTACAGCATTATGCTATTTTATGCGCTCATTTATTAAAATAAATAAAAACACATAACATTTACTTCGTCATCATCTAAAGTGGTTGCTAGAGGTTAACATAAGAATGTCGTATTCAACTGGAAGAACGCGACATCAAAATGAAGAAAGAATCTTCAGCTTTGAAAAGTCTGTCGTTTGAAACGGGGGAAAAATGTGACATTATAACGCGAGAAAAACTTCGATTCGGATTTTGTATGATTTTTTTTGTGGTAATGTGAAACCAGCTGTTTGTTTTACGACCGTTCTCATTGGAGAAAAAATACACGAGTAAAAGAAAGTAATAATTAACTTTGGTTAAAAGTTCATTATATTCGATTTCGATTAAGAATCGTAATGGGAAAAGCCATGCGTGTTTTATTTAAACTATTTAGTGTGACACATCGTCTTTACTTTAATCATCTTCAATAGGGTTATATCATTGCGACGGTTTCAAAAATGGCTAGTTGGAAAAGTGCCAACAGCTGTCCCAAATGAAAAAGCGCATGGCGCATGTCTTCAATAGAACTGACAAAATATTTCAATGTTAAAAGAAGTATTAGAAAAAAGTCCTTTGAGATTGTTTACAAAGACAATAGCTTCCATAATGAATCTGCATTGGTTAATAAGAAAGAAAAATTGACAGAAAAACAAATCGCGATGTCTCTTTCGCTTCTAGAAGGCATGGGAGTATAGAAAGAAATTCATTTTTTGTTTTTCTTTGCAGACGTGTAATATCAGCATCTTCGAATAATTTTAATTCTTTGATAATGCTAGTAGCACGTCAACAGAGCGAATTGTTTCCAAAATGTGTGAAAAGCAAAGAAGTTGCATACCCGTGTAAGAAAAACAAAACAACAGATGTAACTTGTAATGATCATTTATTTTATTAATTTAGTCACTCATCTAAAGTCTTCTCAATCAGCGTTAGATTATAATGAATTGAAAAATCTTCAAAACATTCCAAGTTCTAAAAATGAGTAAGATGCACAATTTATTGTTAGACCCTGTATAAAAGAGGGAACATTATACATTTTTAAGGTACATATTATTTTTTAGATCTGTGTTCAGAAATGCTTTCTCATTACACTCCTTCTAAGAAATTATCGTTGACTCAATTCAAGAAAAACTTAAAGTATATTTTCTTTTTGTCTTTAGTGAACAAGCTCATACCACTTTTATGAAGCGATATTCATCCGTTTTGAAAAGTCAAAAACCATCTCATAGTGCTCGAAATGTGTGGGAAACTACTCAAACATCTTTAGACAGGTAAGAAGCATTCTTGTAGTCAAATCTCACTTGACTAATAAATGTTGATGATATATTGTTATTTGTACGTTAGGCAGTCTCGACAATCAATGAAAAATTCAAATGATGTTAATTCGATACATTTACCAAAAGTAACACGACGTGCAAGAAAACAAACACTGTTTCAACAAGAAATTCAATCATTAAGAAAATTATTGAGAAAATTGTAAATTTTTCTTGTTTATCATCGAATCTATATGATAATTTCATTATGATGTTTTTAGACACGTACAACGAACAGCGGCTGAACATAATGAAGTATTTCAAATATTAAGTCAATTTGAACAGTTTATGAGTCTAGATCAGCCAGATATTCTAAAACATGCTGTTCAAATAGCACATATTGAAGTATGTTCTGAAAGCAAACAACCAGGTCTCTCTATTTTGTTATATTTTCACATCTTATTAGTCAATTTCAATATTTTCTTTTCTATTGCATTTACAGTATTAGGTTCTACTGGATTTTATTTAATTTTGAAAGGAAGTGTTATACCACACTCAGATCCTTATATCAATTTACCAAATACAATTCTTCGACAACCAACACCTACACCAACGACAGAAGTTCGGGTATATAAAACACAAAAAGAAGATTATATCCTTCGAGTTATATAATTTATATTTTTCATTACAGTTGACTGTAGGTGATTGTTTTGGTACATTAAAACCGATTGAGCAAAGTTCAAATCCTAATTCAAGGTGAAGAAGAAATACTTAAAACAGATATATTTAAAAACTGTAGTATACTATCATCTATTTAGAATGTTATGGATATTAACGGCCGAAGAAAATTGTGAATTTTTAAAAATACCTGCTGATGAATTTCAAGCATTAACACGTAAAGTACAACAAACAGCTTATCAAGAAAAATGGAATGTTTTACGTTCATGTACTGCATACAAAATGTGGCCCAAACAACAAGCAGAAGAATTAATAAATGGTCTTGAATGGCTCAGTTTTCCACCAAATACAATTCTTGCCAGTGAAGGATATCGTTGTCCATTTATTGCTTTTATCAAAGTGGGAGAATGTCATATATTAAGAAAAGTAGATGTAATTAAAACAGCTGAAGATGGAACAAAACATCGACAATTACGACAAGTTGTAATGGGTAAAATAGCTGCACCAGATTCGTTTGGAGAAATTAGTGTTTTGTTACAAGAAGCAATGGTATATTTAAACACAAAAACCCTATTCAATTTTGATCGAGATTTTTTTAATTTATTCTGTTTCAGACATGCACAATTGTGACCGCATCACCATGTACACTAGGTGTAATCAATTTGGAAAAAGCAGCTGGCAAGTAAACATAGTCATAGTGCTTTAACTGAAAAATTAAGAGGATTTATTGTTCTAAAAATCTACAGTCAGTTTTGCCGTATACAAGAGAAATTCTAACTAAAATTGAAGTATTTGTGAAAATAGTTTTAATACACGAAATGTTGAAAATGAAATTGTGTAGTGGCTATTACTGAGCATAATCACTCATGCTAAGACTTCTCGTATTTCTAGGTCTTACTGAAGTTACACGAAAACTACTGATTCATTCTGCCAAACGCACCTATGCTCATTTTAATCAAGATGATATTCGGCATGAATGTAAGTTTATTTTGTACAATACATTTTAATTATTTTATTTTAATATAAATATTATTTGTTTGTGTTTTTAAAGATATTGAACAAGAATCAAGAAAAGAATGGTCTGATTTGAAAAAAGATATAATTGCAGATATAATTAACAAGAAAAATATTCAAGTAGGCAAAGGAAAATGGCAACATTCAGTAACTCCTACAACCTCATTACGTGTAACTAAATCATCTATGAGTACATTTGTGTAATAAGAATCTTTATTTTAAGCGAAATAACGTATATTTTCTACGTTAATTGAAAAGTCTGTTTTGAGTCCAAGCTTTTATTATCAAACATATATTTCAGATTACTGGCTGAGTTCGTTTTAAAACAAAAATTGTGGAATATTACAAGTCCGGCGATAAATACTAGTTTACTAACAGTAGTGTTCTTAACCATGCATGTATTTCTTTAAAAAGAATTCTATTTTTATACTACAAAAATATTTTTAATTTGAAATTTCAAGTTCTTTTTAAAAAAAGAGGAAATAAATAAATAAATAAAAAACAATATTAATTTTGTATTCTATAGGCTTCTTAACATCTCAACGACTTCATTCATCATCATGAAATTAAAAAAAACAATTGTACTACTGAAAATCGTTCGATGATCGGCATGTTACATAAATTGCAGCATCCGAAGCAAAAATAAAATTTTCTTTGTTGACAATAGCAGTCGAAATAAGTTTTATTGCAAGATCTTCTTCTACTATTATCAGGAATATCAGATGGAAAACATGAGAATCAGAAAATAAAAGTTCAAAATCAGATAAAACTTACAAAAAGAAATTTCAAATCAGAATACCTTAGAAGAGAAAAGAGCAGAAAAAATTCCAAATATCAGAATTCACTTTTTCTTTTTTTCATTATGTGGTAGTGATACTTATCTGAGGATTCTCAGTATCTTATAAAGGTACCTCCTGAACACGTAATGAGACTAATGTTGTGACTTGTTCTGTGTCCCTTTCTTTTCTCAAATAAATAAAGTTTATATCAGAAGTTTTCTGCCAAAATGAGACGATCTGGGATCCTTCAGAATTTATTTCATCTAATTTTGAACTTACTCTTGTCATATTGTTGTTCTTGAACACTGATTGATCCAGTGTTCGTCTGATGAACTCATCAGTTCATAGCATACATTATTAGATGTACGTACATCAAAATCTTTTGTTTAGATCTTTGTTTTAGTAAAAGTTTAAAAATAGTATCTGCAATTGTTTTACTTTTACCAGTGCCTAATAAAGATTAATACTATGTTTTTATGATCCGTACTATAGTTCAGCACTGTCTGAATTATTCGGTGAAGAAACAGCGAATTTTGGAGGGAGCAAGATGAAGTTCTTCTGAAAGAAGCATACAAGAGAATAAAACTTCTTGAGTGAATCAGACCTTAATACAGACCCTTTATCATCTCAAACAGTCCAGAAGAAGAACTTTCGAGGGAAGAAGTTCTTCGGTGTCAAAAAAGAAAATAGTTCTTATGCGTATGTCAACTTCACACCAACAGTCTATGTCGTGTCGAGCCGGATGCCAGTATGTCTTCAGCAGAACATTTCTTACAGAACATTAACATTGATTCACTTAAGAAGTTTTATTTTCTTGTATGCTTCTTTTTGAGAAGAACTTAATCTTCTTCGTTGCAAAACCGTTTGTTTCTTCACAAGAAATTCATCTTTCTACCTCCAACACTCTTTCTATCCTATTCTGTCCGAAAGTCGGTGTTTCTTTCTTTTTCGGTGCCAAAGTTGGTGTTTCTTCACTAGAATTTCATAATTTTCCGTGTAGTACTCGGTGTTTCTTCACGAGAAACATGTTTTCATTGAAAAACACCGTGTTCCTTTCTTTTTTGCTGCAAAACTCGGTGTTTCTTCATGAGAACAGGGATTGACAACGATAGAACGTTCGATGCGCTGCTACAGGCAATTGCAACAGCAATCGAAGAATAGAAAATAGTTCTTATGTGTATGTCAACTTCATACGAACAGTCTATGTCGTGTCGAGCCGGATGCCAGTATGTCTTCAGCAGAACATTTCTTACAGAACATTAACATTCCTTTAAT